TACGAACGTTTCAACTTACGAACCGCTCTCATAGGAACATATGGACTCGACTTACGAACTTAGATTCGAGGTACGAACTCCTTTTTTCCTTTTTTTTATAAGCTAAGTCATCTTAGGTTAAAAGGAAAAAAGAAAAAAATATCCCTCTCTAGTGGTAGAAGGCGGAATAGCAGCTTCCCATTAGTTTCTATGGACGAAAAGAGCAGATACGGATTAAATGGTTTTCAATGCATTCCTATGGGAAATGCAGATTCGACTTAAGAACTTTTCGACCTGAGAACTGCCTTCCAATACGGATTAAGTTCGTAAGTCGAGACCCCACTGTACTTTGTGCCCTTTCGTCATACGTCGTCTGCCTGGCAGCACAGATGCCACACATCCCCTTCCCCCACCCCCGTTGCCAGCAGCTCCGCTCACTAGCTGGCACACATTGCTCCTTCCCTCCCTGTTGCACCATCTTCCAGTCTGGGCAGGAGCCCGGATTTCCCTTCTCTGCCTCTCCCAGCAGCTGGCAAATCAGATGAGGTGGGGCAGGGATTCCTGCAACACTGCCTTTGAGTGGCCAGCTGCTGGAGGAGGCAGAGGAAGCCAGGAAATGCATTTCTTTTTTTAAAAAAAACTGCAGTTCATGAATGTGAGATATCGTGCTTCTGTATCCAGGATTCAAAATACCAGGAAATGGCCCATGATTGCTACACAATATCCTGCCTGTGTTGCCAAGCTTTACATAGTAAAGGGCAGCCTCCATGTTTGCTACACAATATCCTGCCTGTGTTTCCAAGCTTTGCCTGAATGCTGACAACACCAAATTTTGTTTCATATTGTTCTTTTCTTTTCTTTTGTTTACCTCCCAGGAAACAGAAAGTAATCCCATGATCTCTGGAATTTACAAGCCCCTGATTTAAATGGCTATGGTTTTCACATTCATGTTGTTCATCCAGTGATGTAACTGCGTAGCCATTTCCTACATTCTTTTACTCCTTGCAAAGCACAAGATTACCTCCATTCTTTGCAGCAAGCTGTTGGCTACTGTTAAAAGCTGTATCTTATATTCACAGTCTGATTTCTTCTTTGTAGAAACAAAAAAATAAAAAGGCAACCTACTTCTTTTGGGGACCAAAGCGTTTCCCATTCTGTCAAATTCATTAGTATAGCGAGTGACCCTCCTGTCTCCTCCAGGTTATGCGTGTCACCAAAACACTGTGCCTGACCTCTAAGATCAGAAAAAGGAGCTGAAGGGCAAAACTATTCCATTTTGAGAGTGATTGATTCCAGCCAAGCATAACCTTGGGTAGCATGCCAATAAATTTTGGAGATAGTGAAATCTTCTGATAAGACTCATAAACGTTTAATAGTTTTATTCCCTAGCAGTATTGCACCAAAATTCTACCCCCAGCCCAACATCAGAGAAGCTGTTTTTATCTCTACTAGCATACCTCCTCATTCCACTCTCCCTGCCAAGCTGCTTGTGATATCACTCTTCCTCCTCCACAACTTCAACTATTAAGAGGCTCTTCATTTCCCACCCCTCAACTCAAAATTTTCCACTCATTTATGTTCTCTTTCATTTCACTATTCTCTGATGACGAACCAGTTCTTGCTCTGCCTCTGTCTCTCTGGCTCTGTCAGGACCGATTGGTCAAAATATAACTGATAGTGTCAACTCTTGGAAGCCTTCACAGCATCTCTCCCCACCAACCCGTAAAAGCTTGCCTTTTCCGCTTCTGTTGTGCTCCTCACCTTGATTGTGCTCAGTAGAGTCTCTGCAACATAAATGGTCACACTTTTGGTGGGAGATAAATGGAGTGGTGTGCAACTGCTACAACAGTGAAGAAATGAGTTGTATTTATTGATTTGCATGATTTTACTTTATCCATATTGTTTTCTATTTCACTGTTATGGTCATATGTAATCACAGTCTGGTGTATTTGGAACTGGTTGTTTTGACTGGGCAGTTATACATCAAAGTATGCAGCAACAGCAACTGTTCATCAGCTTGCTGGATAGCTCACTGACTCAGTGTAGATAGTTCAGCAGTTCAGTGTGGAGCCAGGGGTTTAGAATTCAATTTCCCAATGTATGTCCTGTGAGTAGAGTCAGCCAGTGAGGCTTTAGGCAAGCTGCACAATCCCAAGGTGCCCGCAGGAGAAGGAAATAGCAAATTACTTCTGAGTATTCTCTATTTGGAAGAGGATGAAAAGAGTCAGCGTATCTCAGAATTGACTTGCCAGCACACAGTTATCATAATCATAGAACTGTATAGATTTCAGTCCCATGGCCTAGATCTGGGGGAGAATGATCACCCTTGGAAAAATTCAAGTCTGCGTCTGAAAATTTGCACATATATTGCATGTTTGGAACCCGAGAATAGGGAAGTTTGATAATGTTCATACAGTGGGGTCTTGACTTACGAACGGCCCGAGTTACGAACATTTTGACTTACGAACCGCTCTCATAGGAAAATATTGACTTGACTTACGTACTTAGATTTGAGTTTTTCTGTCTGTCGTCTGTCTGTCTGTCTGTCTGTCTGTCTGTCTGTCTGTCTGTCTGTCTGTCTGTCTGTCTATCTATCTATCTATCTATCTATCTACCTATCTGATATGCCACCCACCCTACCCAAAGATCTCTGGGCAGCTCACAACAATCAAAATACAATTAAAATACAATAAAAAAATAAAACAATAAAACACAATTGAAATAGATACTCTAAAAATTGCCATCAGGATCCACAGTTGATATTATTTGTGCACAACACCACTGGAGAAAAAGGCATGTTTACATCTTTTTCAAATAATGTAATGTGATTTACGCATACCTAGTGTCCTTTGATTTATGAAGAGTATGAGGAGTGAAAGAGAACATGCACAATTTCAAACTGTTTTGATTCAAAAGAGTTATGCTTCAAAAGATTGTTGAAGCTCAGAAGCTTAGGGGCTAACAAATTGTATAATAAATGCAAATGCATGCAGGAGAATCCCAGTGCTGTTTATTTGTAAAAATATAAACAACATCAGGCAGAGGGAATTTGGAGTCTAGAAACAGCAGGGGGATCAGAGAGGTAAGAGGCCCTTAACCCTTCGCATTCCTGCAGCTTTTCCAAGTATGTCTAACACTGTGTCTTTTATTGGCATCCCAAGAGACTTTGGAACATACCTGTTCAGTTGCCTCGTAGGGTTTGTTAATGCATCACAATTTAGAATGCAGGACTTACTCACATACATGACTTCCTCACAAGAAGAAGTTTAGGTCACATAGTAGATACAGTGTGTAAAGAAGAGATGTGCGGATATATGGTTATTTGATAGCTATGATTTGCCTGATAGCAGATATTTCCAGTTGCACTAGTATGCTTATGTATTGGTCCTCGGTCACACTGCAGTAGTTGCAACTGTGTGACTGTGGGGCTGATTGATGTGATATTTATACAGCTTTTATAACTAGGTTGTTGCATGTCAGGTTGTCAGCAAATACATACCTACTTCCTTTCTCCAGCTGATATATTAGCCATGAATAGATGCAAAATCTTCTGTTGATAAACTCCCACAGGTGATCAATTGATTTGGTTCTAGCTTTGCAGTGGCAGCTGGGAAGGGATATGTGTTTTGGATTGGATAAGATAGGAATGGATTGGATTGGAGATCCAGCTTTAAATCTTTGATCAGATGTGAAACTTGCTAAGTGTATTTGAACAGCTCTCACCTAAATGTGACTCACCAGTTTGTTATGGGGAGGCCAACATTAGAAGTATGTTGTACCTTTGATGGCCAAAATCCTATTGGTTATTTACACACATGTAAATTCAGGACCATAAATTGCTGCAGTGAATTTCTGCTGGTTAATGAGTTGACAGTTGTATTCCTTATTGTGTGCTAGTCATGTTGCTTGGCATGTAATGAGGAAAATAACCAGTGACTCCCTAATTAGCAGCAATTTGGTGCTGAAATGTATGTCATTGCCCTTGCACTGGTGTGAATGATGATGACCCACTTCTATGCTATGTTGTATATCAGGCAGCTTTCTTGCTGTTTCCATCACAGTTTTTTGTTTTATAGGGACTGGTTGCTAGTCCTCCTCCTTTCTCATCTGGGCTTGGGACCAGCAGTGGTGGATTTTACTGGTGGGAATAACCAATAGAACTTTATTAGATGTACAGGAGACAGTATATTAAAATTATGATATGATATAATTTTACATACGTATTTAGTGAATTTGAAATAATTCCAATATACTCTTTATTTTTCTGTATACACACACACACACACACACACACACACACACACACACACACACACACACACACGAGTGCATGTGTACACACACATGGACACACATGCACACACACATGCACATACAAAATGTCAGAGGAACATAGTATGTTATTAGTTAGCTGCCAACTCCCTAGTCACATTAAGGTAAAGGTAAAGGTTCTCCTTGAAATTTAGTCCAGTCGTGTCTGACTCTAGGGTGTGGTGCTCATCCCTGTTTCCAAGCCATAGAGCCAGCATTTGTCCGTAGAGAGTTTCCGTCGTCACATGGCCAATGTGACTAGACACAGAACGCCATTACCTTCCCACCGTGTTGGTACCTATTTATCTACTCGCATTTACATGCTTTCGAACTGCTAGGTTGGCAGGAGCTGGGACAAGCGACGGGTGCTCACTCCATCGTGTGGATTCGATCTTACAACTGCTTGGTCTTCTGACCTTGCAGCACAGAGGCTTCTGCAGTTTAGCCCGCAGTGCCACCATGTCACATTACCTCTCAGCATATGTTGACCTTGAATGAAAGTCCAGGCTATGAAAGTTTTGCCTGTGGCAGAGTGATGAATTTAGAAAAGTGTCATCTCAGGCCCATCAATTTAAACACAATAGATTAACAATTTTGGATGTAAGAAGTTGATATTCTCAGTCTCTCCAATGCCTTTATATCTGGAAGAATTTATGTTGATCCTTTAATTTGTGCCTTGGACAGTAAATTGTGAATTTGTTTTTCCATAGAGATTGAAAAAGAAAGCTGTGGTGATCCAGGTACTCCATTATATGGCATTAGAGAGGGAGATGGATTTTCCAATCGTGATGTGCTAAGGTTTGAGTGTCAATTTGGATTTGAATTGATTGGAGAAAAATCGATTGTTTGTCAAGAGAATAACCAGTGGTCCGCAAACATACCAATCTGCATATGTGAGTAGAATTGCTTGAATGATTCTTAATACCCTATTTGGCTGTGAATTGCATGTTGTTGGATCAACGTGTGAGGAGACAGAGTGCAGTGGCCTAGCCTCTTTCAGTGTCTAAGATGGTAAATTTCTGAGGTGGAGAGACTTCCTAACTATGGAGGTGTTTTACAGGAGCTGGAACCTTGATTTTTCTGATATTCTTAATTAGGTGGAAAGGTCTCACAGATAGCAGAAGTTATTTTTTTTTTCTCCTCAGACTTGTTGCGCCTCACATGTAGAGGGTAATGGAACAGGACAGGTAAGGTTAGAATACTCTACTTCTTCACATGTTGATTCAACATCTTTATTTACAACAATGGAATAAGCCTGAAATGAAACATATCAATAAAAATGGTTTCTTGTTTCCTTGTCATTTACTGCAGAATGCTATCATGAAACAATATTTTCAACCTGTGTTTCCATATAAGTAAATGTTTCGCTTCATCTAGAAAATGATTGTTGTGTTTGGGGCTGTCGGGTTCCTTCACGTAGTATTTCGATACTGTAACAACTCCGGGGTATTTTAAGTGTATAATTTATCTTTGTTATGCCCTGGTTTAAAGCAGCTTACTGTATTTTGTGAAGTTGCAATCAAGGGCATTTAAATTATTTACAAATCTCCTCCCATTCATTATACATGAATATCTTTTAATATGTACATAAGCATGCAAATAGATAGTTTTGCTATCCATATAAATATAATGCAGAAAATAGACCACTTTTGATATATATTGTGATGTATAGGTTGTAGTGAAGAAATATAAAATATATTCAGCAATCTCTGGGATACTTTATAGAGTATTTTAATAAACACATACACAAATGCACACCTAATTGTGACAAAATGGTTATCCATTACATTAATGTTAGTGAAATAGCAGTGTTAAATATGAAACATTGTGTGGCTAACTAGTAAAGCTGGAAAGCCTTTTGAGCTTAATACCATTCTTGTGCTGATTTGTTAACTACAAATTATCATGGCAACACTGACCTTGTAACCCGTAATGTGCTCAGTAAGAAATTGTTCATTTGAACAGTTCCCTGGAGGGCAAAATAAGTAGTATGGTAAGATTAAGGGGAGTTAGCTATGGATAAATCACAAGGCTTACTGTAATTTCAGTCTACCATAACTGCTCCATTTTCCTCTAAGTTCTGCTGTTAGCAGGTATCCTTGCAGACTGAAAAAGGAGGACATTAGTACTAGCAAATAAGATAGTTAATTTGTTGGTGACTCTTTATTGGTTTTGCAGCTGAGAAAAAAAGATACCTACCTCGAACTAGCTACAAGTTGTCCATTTAGGAAAAGGTTTTGTTGCTACAGACCTAAAGCATTGAGAGAACAATAGGCCTGAAAAAAACACATCTGAAAATATTTACATCTAGCAAAGCTATCTAATAAAGAAACAGGGTCTCCCGGTCTCTTTTCTTAAGCAAAGCTTGTCACAGCATATTAAACGTGATTTTAAGTAAGGCATGAGCAGGAGGGGTTAGCATTCCCCATTTATTGACAAGGAATGAAGACACCTGAAACAGCGATGGTCTTGAAAATGAGCACAGTTTTGTTGGGTACAATGACCTGCTGAGATGAGGTCTGTGAACAGTCTGAGAAATTTAAATTTAAAAAGAGGGATGGGAAATCCACAGTTTGAATTGCTATAGGGTGGAGCACCTTGTCTATAAACCAGTTTTCAAAAAAGCCCCATCCCTAATGGTTGTTGTGGTTTTTTGGGGCTCTTTGGCCATGTTCTGAAGGTTGTTCTTCCTAACGTTTCACCAGTCTCTGTGGCCGGCATCTTCAGAGGACAAGAGTAGCCCTCTGTGCTCTGGTGCAGTTTGTTTGGGAGTTGAGTATTTATAGCTGTTGGATCAGCTTTTTGTCCTTTTCAGGAGATGGATGATTCTGGTGACCAGTGTGTTTTTGTTGTGTGTCTATTGTTGTGATAAGGAGGAGAGATTATCTGTCACTCTGATTGATGGGTGTCGTTAGCTGGTCTTTTGTGTGCAGTGATCACCGGTCCTCGTTGACCTTTTGCAGGCTGTATTTTTCAGTCCTAACCTGGCCATTCCAAAATTCCTGTTTAGTCCCTAAGGTAGGCAACTGGACCAGCCTTTCCTGATTCAATAACATAAAATAAAATAAAATAAAAGGAGGAACGGGTATGCTCCAACATGCTGTGTGGAGAACAACAAGCATTCAGAGGACACTTGCCACTTTGTGATTGTTCTGATTTCCTGCCAGTAGGAGCAAAAATTAAGCTGGTTGTTTCCAAGCAACCAGATAGGGAGGAAAATATGTTCCTTCCATCCCTTAGCAGTGAGATGGAGTGGCATCTAAAGGCTTGATTACTTTTCCTTAAGGAAGTGGTCCCACATGATCACAGACCTCTGGGGTTTTATGGTTTCCATGATAGGGGTCATTAGCTAGTTCAGTGGGACAAGAAATTCAAGATCATGATTGCTATTGGGACATGAATACAAGATGAACTTCAGAATATCTTCTGATCACTTACAATTTCTTTCCTACTTTTGACAGTTCCCTGCCTTTCCAATTTCACGGCACCAATGGGAACTGTTCTTTCTCCCGACTACCCGGAAGGATATGGGAATAATTTGAACTGCATCTGGACAATCATCTCAGACCCTGGAAGCCGAATTCATCTCTCCTTCAATGATTTTGACCTGGAATCTCAGTTTGATTTCCTTGCGATCAAAGACGGTGATTCTCCTGATTCTCCAATACTTGGCACGTTCACAGGAGCTGAAGTGCCCTCCCACCTGACAAGCAACAGTCATATTTTGCGTCTGGAATTTCAAGCTGACCATTCCATGTCAGGTCGAGGATTTAACATCACATATAACAGTGAGTAACTTTCTAATTCGTAGTCTGCAATTCACACACAAGGCATTTTTTACTGATCTTCTGGTAGTTACTTTTTAATGGGATGATACACATTGATTATAGCAACTTTGTTTCCTCCATGTATGTACTTCATTGTCACTGCATGCAAATGTTCCTCTTTTTCTTTTGACTGCTTAGCTCTAAGGCTTTGTCCTTTTGTTGTAAAGGCATAGAAAAACCTGATGGATTTGCGAAGTGAATCACGTGTGGAAGGATGTTACTTAGGTGGCCTAATGTTGTGCATTGATGTGGAGGCCACCACACATGCCAATTTTTGCAAAATCTTACCTGAAGTTGTCTCTACATGAGTTTGGATATTTTTATCATATTCTTATGGTCTATGCTTTTATGCATACATCTGAGTTACATGGATGTCACAAAGGATCTTTTTTTTAAAAAAAATTACAGTTAAAAAACATGGAGAAGCCTGCTTAAGGGGTACACAGGAGGGGGGGTTACTCTTGTGTTGCACCTTAATTGTGGAGACATCCCCCTCAGAGCTGCAATCACCTCCCATTCTCTCTGCTTCTAGGCGGATTGTTTTGTTTTGAAATGAGAAGGTAGAATAAAAATGTGATAAAATAAATGTTAATGCAATCTTAGTGCCTACTTTGCTACTCACAGAACCACTTGCTAAAAAACAACAAACCTGAATGGCTCTTACATCATATAAAAATAGTTTTGTGACTCTCTGAGTAAAACTGCAAGCCATAGTTATTATTCTTCTGTTCCTAAAACAACAAACGAAGGACAAATAAATCATTTATCGTTGTTTGAGGGGAAGGTAGGGTTGGATAGAGTCATAGAGTTGGAAGAGACCACTAAGGCCATCCATTCCAACCCCCCGCCATGCGGGAATCTTTGGACATACGTTTAAAAAGATCTTTGGACATACCATAAGTTTAAAAAGATGACTCAGGGCACTGAATGCCATCCAGATGCTTATCTATATAATTTGGGCTCCAGTTTATGCCCATAGCAGCTACCACTGCGTTCTTTACTCCTTATTATCTCCTAATAAAAAATAATACATTCCAGGCTCCCCTTTCCCCCAGACCTATCCCATTCTGTTTCATTCCCCTTTTTGTTTGAAGAATCATGGTTCAAAGCAAAATAGAGCCTCTGACATATTCCAAGAAGTAATAAGTCCCACATCTAAGGATACAATATCTTGTAGCCTAAAACACTGCTGTACTTATTTTAGTTTATTTTAATTAATTTTTTTGCAACACTTAAACTGTGATAGCTCCTGGAGGGATCAGTTTCACCTGACAAATCCTTGGACAATCTACTATTATCCAAGAATAAAGCACATGCTGCTTCTTTTTTTCTGAACCCCAAGGGAACTGGTTTTATCTCATCTTCTTCTCCATACGAAACTTTCAGTGTCAAGTGAAGCATATTATAATATTTTTTGATAGTTTAAATTTGCTTTCCTGCAATGTTGCTTTGTAATATGATTATTACATCAAATAAAAATGGTGCAAGATGAATACCTGCTTTCTGCTCAAGGGTATTTCTCCCTCCAGGGTTACTATATTTTATCTGACACTTATAAAACTGGTATTTTAATGTATCATTGTTTTGTAAATATGGCAAAGAGGGAGATGTCTCTTTATATTCTCCTTTTTGAAATAACATTAGTCGTTAGGTTGGTCCAGAAACAGCAACAAGAAATCCACTGAGCTCAAGCAGTTAATGATAATATACGTTTATTTTCTTCTGAAGTGACATTGGTGGTTGTCACTAATAAGCTGCAAAACGTAATTGAAGAATATTAAAGTTAAATTAGCTGTGACGTACGTCACAGCAGATTGTTATATAAAACTGCTTGTTTGTCATTAGTGATTTTGCTTTTTGCTTTTCACATTTTGCAATGGTAAATGTTAAATTAAATAATGATAAGGTTTTTCTCTTCCTAGTATGCTTTGTAAATAAATTTTGAGCATAATGTCTTTGTTTTTATACTTCGCACCTTATTGAAGTTAGTAACATTGCATATTTTGAATTCAATTTTCTTTGAAACATAAAGTATTGTAAAAAATTGAAATGTATGTTGAGGTGATTGATAGATTGACCCTATGAATGTTTGTCATCTTGTTTAATTGAACTTAACTTACCAAAAACAAAACAAAAAAAAAAAAACCACCAGAAACTAGAATGAACAATCCTTATTTAAGACACCAATTTGCATCAAGTTTTCTGGTTTTTTTTTTTTGCACATTTCTTGAGCAATACTGCAAATCTGATTACTGAAATGTAAATATTCAACTGAATAGAGCAACAAAGTTGTTTGAATCCTGAATGAAAGCAGCAACTTATTAATTAGTAACAATCCACTGATGATGGTGATGCCAGTTACACTATACTGGTGTTGCTGTGCAATAGGATGGACCAATATATTCCTACCTTGGCATCATTTACAGAGTAACTATGGATATGATGGAGCCATTCTACAGTGTCATGGTTTGAATGTTGCTTTTGGAACACAGGGACATAAATTCATATCCTGTTCAGTCACAAAGCATCGTGCCCTTGGGTCATTCATTACTTTCCTCTCAAACCTACCATTTTAAGAATAGAAGGGAGAAGGGGATCAATGTAAACAGCCAAGTACCTTTCCTATACCAGTAAATAAATAATGATAAGAACAAAAATAACAACAAGCACAATCTTTTAAAAAATGTGTAACCCCATGCTTTACCTTATCCAGACGAACCTTTCCATAGGCCAGTCAGTACCCAGCTAAGCTCCCAGGAGCCTGTGGGAAATAAACAGGAATTTGCTGTCTCTGGAAGGCCATAGCATGTAGCCCCATAGATGTACATAATGACAGAGCTGCAAAGGCCATCAAGCCCAAATACCTGCCAAAGCAGGAAATACAGTAATACACATAATGTCAGAACTTTGAAAAGTCTTATTTTTGGATGATGGCTCCCTTAATTCCTCAGCCAGTATTCTTTGTTGTAGGTTAATTGCTTTCAGTGGACTACTCCGTTTGCATCAAAAATAGTGCAGGGCCCTCTGCAAACAGATTTCAGCTACAGACAGAAGAACAACTGTTCTCAGCATGGCAGCAGTTTCCCTTGAAGCTCTGGATGGCTTCATTCATTGGCTGATTTTGCATGAAAGATTGTTTCTCACAAACAGTAGGTCGAACCATTGACCACAGACTCCACTTTATATTTTTCCTTCATAGGGGCTAGAGATTACTTTAAAAACAACAACTTGAAATCTGGAGCAGATGATGATCCAAACAGGGGCTGGGCGGTAGTAAATTTTTACTCATCCTACAAACAAACAAAAAATGTGCTGCTTATATAACGCCCCACAATTCTTAAAGCACTCTTTGGGTGGTTTACAATTTGATAGTGCAGGCTACTCATTGTCTCCCCTGCCCTCATCAAGCTGGGTACTCAATTTGCTGACCTTGGAAAGTAGGAAGCCTGAGTCAACCTTGAGCTGGCTGCCTAGGATTGAACTCAGGTTGTAAGCAGAGTTTTGGCGGCAGTACTGCAGTTTAACCACTGTGCCACCAGGTCCCCTAAGTAAGGGAACTGCATTGTGGTATGTGAAGAAATCAAAGCTCACAGAACTTTGGATTCAGTCCTTTGATTTCTGACATAATTTCTTCGTAAGACTGTGCACTATAAAAATCAACAGTATTTTATCCACTCCCTTTATTTCATAAATTATACTGCATCATTCATGCTTTTGTTATTTTTTGTTTGCTTGCTTTTATTTTATTTAAAAGACATTTGACATCTCAGACTAATAAATGTTGCATTATACTGCTTTATTTATTGCAATGTGATTCCCCTTGAACAATCAGTTTGTGTAGACAATGCCATGCTATACAGTTCCTCTTGATTAAAACTTTTTACTGATATAACTTGCTAAGAAGCACAATTCCTCTAGGAGGGAGAAGTATACTTTTTGATCAACAAATGTTTCTTAAGATGTAGTGACTGTTGTTTAGAGCAACGGGAGGGAGGTACCTAAAACTTTCAGAGCCAGAAATAACCACTGATTTTAAAACTAATGAACTGTCACAAGTATACATTTTTCAACAACTTTTTATTGCTTCCAAGTCTCTTAGCTATATCAGTGGGGAAGTTGTTACTCATAGACATCTAGGCACAAAGGGAAAGAAAAGAAAGATATCAATGGCAAATATTTTGCAAACTTTCTTAAAGAATCAAAAGGATACATTATTTTGCTGTTCATTCTAATGAAGTCCCTGCCAACTCACATTAGTCTTGGCTTTGTTAATGGGACAGTAAAATATATATCTTTATATCTGTTACTTTTCACTTTGTAATCTATTGTTCATAATGGTAAGAAATATCACATTAATAATACAAGAATGTAGCCCCCCCAACTTGCAATATATATGCTTTATCTAAACCAGGTGCTTGAATTCACCAATGATTTGATCAAAGGAAATGCATTAAGGTCAAGATCTATGGACTGTAAAAGTTCTGAACTGAATATAGTTCAAACATGTACAGTATTTGTAAGTCAGTTTGATACGATGTGATTTGGAAACATAAGTATTTTATTATAACCTGTTTCCCTTTTTGTTCTTTTTGTTTTAAAGCATTTGGACACAATGAGTGTCCTGATCCTGGTATACCAATCAATGCACGTCGGTTTGGTGACAACTTTCAGCTGGGAAGTTCAATATCTGTCATATGTGAAGAAGGTTTTATTAAAACTCAAGGAACTGAAACAATTACATGTGTGTTGATGGATGGGAAAGTTATGTGGAGTGGACCTATCCCAAAGTGTGGAGGTATATTAAATATTTTCAGTTGTTCAAAAGAGATTTTTCCAATTTTGTTAGAGTAGCAATATTGAGGTGATGGCCTAACTAGTGTGTTCATTTGCTTTTACAGTGTCTATCCTGATTTATGTTATTGTTATTTATTTAATTCATATCCGTCCTTTCTCCCAAAAAGCAAAGCAAAGTGTGCTGCTTATATATCACCCCATAGTGCCTCAAGCACTCTCTGGGCAGTTTACAAGTTAGTTATACAGGCTACACATTGCCCCCCCCGCGAGCTGGGTACAGTGGGGTCTCAACTTACGAACGGCTCGACATACAAACATTTCGACTTACGAACCGCTCTCATAGGAACATATGGACTCGACTTACGAACTTAGATTCGAGTTACGAACTCTTTTTTTCCTTTTTTTAAAAGCTAAGTCATCTTAGGTTAAAAGGAAAAAAGAAAAAAATATCCCCCTCTAGTGGCAGAAGGCGGAATAGCAGCTTCCCATTAGTTTCTATGGACGAAAAGAGCAGATACGGATTAAATGGTTTTCAATGCATTCCTATGGGAAATGCAGATTCGACTTAAGAACTTTTCGACCTGAGAACTGCCTTCCAATACGGATTAAGTTCGTAAGTCGAGACCCCACTGTACTCATCCTCGGAAGGATAGAAGGCTGAGTCAGCCTTGAGCCGGCTACCTGGGATTGAACTCCAGGTCGTGAGCACAGTTTTGGCTGCAGTACAGCAGTTTAACCACTGCACCATGAGGCTCTCCAAACTAGCATCCAAGGTGCTATAACTGATGGAAAGAAATGAGTTCAAATTTAAATCACAAGTAAATTAATTATCATTTCAAAACAGAATACAGATAAAGCATGCCTGTTAAAATAGTAATTAGAACAAAACAATAAAATGTAGCATGTTCATTACCGAATCTATCTAATGGCCAATTTCTTGAGTATGTGGTGGTCCTATGGGACAATAGTCAGGTAATTTAATGTTTTGACAAGTCCCTGAAGTGCTACATATGTGGGAAATATATGCATCCTACATATGCCAAAATCTTCTTGCCTGGTTGCACCTGTGTAAGTTTCAGAGGCAGATTTCCTAAAGTTGAGAAATCATTGTATATATTATCTGTTATATGCTCAGGTGTGTGGTTTAGTGTGTGACTGATTGTGTCTATAGTTATTTCTTAACTTTCCTCTAATTTGCCTCCAAAATTATGCCATTTGGGTAGCTACACAAGAGGATTTTAATCTATGTGTAGGCTGTAGAAGTTAAATATAAAGGGAAATCTGTCTATTCACTTGACCTTGGGAGAACTTTTCTGACCACTCTTTTCGTTTCCCCCTTTAACTTGGCATTTCTGAACATTTGCTGGTTCCTCAGTTAGGCCTAGGTATTCCCTACATAGCTTTTGGGTTTCGCCTTTGTTCACTTCCATACCAGAAGAACAAATAGTCTTCAAGGCTTTTCTAAAGAAATATATCTGAAGGAGGAGTATGGTTCTGCATGCATTGTGGGCATTCCCACAATCCCTTTGGCTAGAAGAGGCCATGTAGTGAAGTGTAAGCAATGTCAATTCCTTTGCAAACCTGCCATGTGTAATTGACATCTTGAACTCGTGTTTGGGAGAAGAGTTTCCCAGTGTTGAACTAGGTTGCTGCAGTGCGTCTTTCTGCTTTAGGGAACTTTTGTACAAGGTACCACTTCTGATAGAACAGCTTTGCAGATCATCATCAAAGAACTTCAACATCAAAATCAGTGCCAGCAGCAGCAGCAGCCTTAACACCTATGTTCAATCAGCTTCCCTCTGCTCACATCATCAAGTATAATTCTGTTCCTCCTGTTTGCTGAAGTAAGAAGAGAAGGTTGAGAACAAGGAGAAACAAGAAACAAGAAGACAAAGGTGACTACTGTGGTTATCCCTGCTCATGAGTCTTCTGGTCTCCTTGCCTCCAGGCCATTCTCTTGTGGATCTACCACAGCCATTGACCTGACTTCACAATTTTCTATATCAGAGAAGTTGTAATAGGGATGATGTAGCCACTAAATGGGAGGACCTGGTCCAGTTCTCAGAATCACCAAACATTCCTCTTTATACCATAGCCACAGCAATTCTTCCTCTAGTCAATGCTGTAGCTCATCTGAGAGAGCTAGCTAGCAAGATCTTTCTCAATTGTAATCCACATGAGTTCAAACACCCAATGTCACACACACACCCTCCAAGCCTTCAATGCCTGGAATACTTATCAGCACCTGTGTTGGCACCAACACATTGGATTGAGCACCAGGCTCAGGAAAACAGCTCCATATACACTTTAATAATGCTAGGCTCATCAATGGATAGATGAGCTTATTGTTTCTTCTCTTAGCAAGATATCTACATAATTAGCACTTTGAATGTTCATTGCCTGTGTTAATAATTCCATTGACACTTTGAAAGTTCATTACTTCTTTCCCATCTCAGCTGACACCCAACCCATTACCATGTTCTCTGTTTATATTAACCTCTGGCCTAACTATTATATTATGCATCTGAGAAAATGGTTTGTTATCCACAAAAGCTTACATTGAAATAAATATGATGATCTTTAAGGTGCTGAAATACTGTGGTTTTCATTTTTGCTTTAATTTTGCTATATATGCCACATCAATTGTCTTGTTTGGACTTCCTATCATAATGAAATATCAAACAAACTACCAACAAAGAAGGCAACAATTTCCCAAGTGTGTTCAACAAAAGATGTTGTTGTCATCTTAAAACTAATGGCAAATATATTTTATTCATGTGTTGAATATCGCCCAAGTGGATAGCGCTTCTGAACATATATAAAACATACCTTGATAATATATACATCTGAAGGAATTAACAGTTTTGGAAATTACTCTTACAATTTAATGATATGGTGATATTACACCAAAGAAATTGCCTTTCTGATTGAGCATATCTTAACTCCCATAAAACTAATTATAATTTCCAAAAAAGTATAACTTATTTGCTCTGCCCACCTGTTTGAATACTGTGGTGCCCCGCTTAATGATTACCTCGCTTGATGACGAATCCGCTTCACAACGATGTTTTTGCGATCGCAATTGTGATCGCAAAACAATGTTTTAATGGGCTTTTTTCACTTCCCAACGATCGATTCCCTGCTTCGGGAACTGATTCTTCGCATTATGACAATCAAAACAGCTGATCGTCAGGTTTTCAAAATGGCCGCCGGCTGCTCAAAATGGCTCCCCGCTGTTTTTAGGAGGCATTTTTTGCTGCACAGGCACCCAAAAATGGCCGCCCTATGGAGGATCTTCACTGGACGAGCAGGTATTTGCGATTTCGCTGGAACGGATTATCTTTGTCAAGCGAGGCAACACTGTATTTTGATGAGCTAAAGCTTAACTGGGTCATCCTCATATAGCCACCAATGGTAGGGGTTTAGTTCTTTTCCACTCTGTTGCAGAGACTATGGGGAAGACACAGTTCCAAAAATGATACTTCGCCCACATTCCAGTGACATTGATAGCAGTGTTATAGGGTCTAGCAGCTTTCCTGAGGCCTGCATCTTCCTGGTTTCTGTCATATGCACAGGCTACCACTATATGTATTTATGCTTTCGAACTGCTAGGTTGGCAGGAGCTGGGACAAGGGACGGGAGCTCACGCCGTCGTGTGGATTCGATCTTACGACTGCTGATCTTCTGACCCTGCAGCACAGAGGCTTCTGCGATTTAACCCACAGCACCACTACGTCCCCTAAAATGTAGGGGAAAGGAAGGGCCGTATATACTATCTTAGTGGAGAACTATAATATATGTATATTTTCCTCTCTGTTAAAATATAAAGATAAACCAGCATTAAGCCTATAACTTCCAAGGATGTAGTACTGTGTACAGTACTTTTTTTTTTACAAAGACAATTGTGATTTTGTTTTATTTCTGATCACAGTGAGTGCAGCAGTTTCAGCCTGACAGTAACAAGGTGTTCTTTTCCTCTTTTCAGCTCCATGTGGTGGACACTTTTCTTCTCCCAGTGGAGTCATCCTTTCGCCAGGCTGGCCTGGGTATTATAAAGACTCCTTGAATTGTGAGTGGGTGATTGAAGCTGAACCAGGACACTCTATCAAAATTACATTTGAAAGGTCTTGACAAAAGCTTTTTCTCCTTATATTTCCACTTTTTTAACTGATAAACTGGAGATTATTTACTTCCACTGTTGTATAAATGAAAAATGAATTTTAATGGACATTAATAATGCTCACTTAATTTATGTAAGAAAGTCAACAGATCTTTGAGGACGGTTGGAGTGTAAGCCAGTTTTATCCCATCGGTTCAGTGATTGAGAGGAACTGAATAAGCTTTTAAACTCAAGTTTCTTTTCCTTTGTTGGTGAACCATAGCAAGCACCATCATCAAAGTTCTGGGTTTAATCTTCACGACATCCACCTAAAGACTTTTGCAAGAGGGTCATGGTGCCCTGGTAGAACACATACATTGCATAAAGGATGTTCCCTCCCTCTTTCGTAGTACCAGAATCGTAGTACCTGGAATCATCCTATGAAGCTGCATGGTAGTAGGCTCAGGCTAGACAAAACTAAGTAGTTCTTCACAGAGCATATGGTTAAACTGCTGAATTTACCAAAAGATGTGGGTTCCATCTTGAATAGCTTTAAATGAGATTAGATCATTGATGGAAGAAAAGTCTATGACTAACTACTAGCCATGATGGCTATGTACTCCCACCAATACCAGATGTGATATGTTTCTGAATTTTTAATGCTGTGTAGCACAGTTTTGTGCTTATGTCCTCATTCTAGTCTTTCTGTAGGCATCTGGTTAGCTAGTCTATGAACAGAATGGACTTATATTTATAGAAAGTCTTAATGATCCCTAATAGAAAGGATCTCAGATCAAGAGCCAATGAGAAAAAATGGCAAGCTGTCTTATAAAGCATGGTGGTGAGAAAAGTTTGTGCTAAGTTTATCACTTTGAGGAGCACTACTTCTAAATGTGAAGCTGACTGTTTTGTATACTTTAAATCGCAGTTATGATCAAGGTCCTCCCCAATATGTTTTTCACAATACCCATCTATAACTCATACTGACATACAGTGGTGCCTCGCATAGCGAGGTTAATGCGTTCCGGATTAACCTTCGCTATAGCGAAACATCACTGAATGGGACAAAAAAAGCCAAATTGGCCCAAAACTCACCGTTCAGCGATGCCTCCGGGGTCCGGCAGCCATTTTCGCGCCCTCGGTAAGCGAGAGGAGGGCGCGAAAATGCTGTGTGCGGCCATTTCGGGGGTCTGGCAACAGCTGATCGCCCGAGGGCAAGAGAAGGAGGAAGAAAAGGGAAGGTGTGGGGGGAGGAGGACGTAGAGGGAAAGGGGGACGGACGCACAAGCGCGCGCCACTTCCTTTCCTCCATCTGCCTGCCTGCCTGCCTGCGTTCCTCCCCGGCGGCAGCAGAAGAGGGAGGAGGAGGAAGAGGGAAAGTGTGGGGGGACGAGGATGAAGAGGGAAAGGGGGGCGGACGCACAAGCGCGCACCACTTCCTTTCCTCCATCTGCCTGCCTGCCTGCCTGCGTTCCTCCCCGGCGGCAGCAGAAGAGGGAGGAGGAGGAAGAGGGAAAGTGTGGGGGGACGAGGATGAAGAGGGAAAGGGGGGCGGACGCACAAGCGCGCGCCACTTCCCTCCCTCCGCCTGCCTGTCTCGCCGCCTGCTTTTCTCCCCGGCCAGCACAGCCCCACATCACTCTCTCGGCGGCGGTGGCGGCTCCTTCCGACGGGCCCCCCCACATGGAAGATCAGTAAGCGAGTTTTGCCCATTGGGGCCGAGGCTATGCCTCCACATTAGCGATCCTGGAAAAGGCATCGCTATGCGGATTCGTCATTATACGGTGCGCTCGTAATGCAAGGCACCACTGTATTTGTTCATCTCCCCCCCCCAAAAAAAAAAATCCTCCACCTCTTTTATCCCTGGTTGTCTTCTCTCTGATCTTTAATTATTTTTAATTTAATTTAATTGACTTCTCCACCTTTCTCCCTAGAGGAGGTCTTAATATGGTATCCAAGTTAGCATATGTCCTAATTCTATAATTAATCTATTTTTTTCTTCATACTGTTGTGGTTAGACATGAGTTTTATCAAATGTAAACATCATCTTACTTTTTATATTCATTGGTCATTGCATACATTATTGTGTCTGAGTGAAGCAGCACGAGTGAGGTACATATATAATCAGCTCATGACTTATGTGTGTGTGTGGAGGGATGTTGGGATTCCCCACCCCAATTTGAGATGCAAGCTGTTGTGAATAGCAAAACCCAAACTTGACAGAGATGCCACATCTGAACTTATGCAAATTGTTATAAATTAATATTCCAGATGAAAGTAAAGGTTGCTTTCAAAGCTGGGACCCATGAATCACTTATTTTCCTTAACATGATTCCCATCTACATTTTAAAATGTGTTGCTTTCAATTATGTTAATTTTAGAAGATTGGTCCTCCATGGGTATCTGTGCAGAAAGTATTACTTTTGGTGAGTGAGATCAACTATGAAGAAGCAAGGCACTGTGATTACAGCATTTTATTTAATTAGGGCAGCATTGGGGGATCGGGACTGTGAAAGCTGTAAATTATTGATCTGCAGAGCTTTTACAATATACTTAGACGAATACTTAACTAAAAGAAAAGCAGTTATTCTGTTTTGACCTACAGTATAATGCATTTCAAACTACAGGAGGACTAGCATTTTTATATGCAACACACCAGCTTTTATAAATGAACATTTTAGTGTACCTTACTATAATTTTCCTCCACTCTCACAATCAGGGCTGTGTAACTATATGTGCATCAAAGCACAGAAGAGATTTGCATATGTACAAATATGCTTCTGTTTGGTTTCTGACTTCACAGACCTCATGATTTTGCTTGTTTGCATACTGTAGCAGCAAATAAAAGCAAGTTCAAAACATTGTATTAAAAGCTGAGCCTATGACTTGTGGTGGAGGGTTGATCTAAAATAAAAACCACATGGAAGCTACAAAAATATTTGCAGCAGTTGTCTTGATTTTAAAAGAGGATATGCCCAGGAACAGCTGGATAGCTCAGTGGTTTGGACGACTCTCTGAGGGGTCAGAGTTTGGGAGTTCAATTCCTCACTGTACCTCCTTGGCAGGGGCTGATCACTTCCAGCTCTGCAGTTCTAAGATGATGATGATTTACAAGAAGAAGAAGAAGAAGAAGAAGAAGAAGAAGAAGAAGAAGAAGAAGAAGAAGAAGAAGAAGAAGAAGAACAACAACAACAACAACAACAACAACAACAACAACAACAACAACAACAA